TTTAATGTGTGTTTTGAATCAACTAAACTTTACAGCACTTCACAGAAACCTCCGCCACTGACTAGTGTTTTTGAGGTGTAACTGCAGAGTGACACAGACACACCACCGCACAAGTATAAATGCTCACAACAGTGTAGACTGCAGCGTAGGGTCTGCTGCACAACTATAAATCCTACTTAACGTGAAGGCTTTTAAACATGAGCTCATCTTTACCTGGGAGGCACCGCAAAGACATCCGGATGGAGCTGAGCCAAACCCAAAGGCTCGCTGTCCGTCCTCTCCAGAGTCTCCACCCACGTCTGGACGGGGCTCAAATGAGCTGGAACGACAGCATCGCACTTCCTCAGGAGAGGCAGGGAGCAGTCTGCAGGAGGAGGTGGTCGCTCTGCAGGAGGAGACAATACAGTCAGTGATGGACGTCTTTAAAGTGATGGACACAGGCAGTTTTATTTAAATTAGAAAATCATTATAGAGTTGATGGTTTGTAACGCAGCGGGAACTTTGACAGTACAGGTATTTGATGAGTCAGGAGAGTTTTTTTAGGAGAGTGGATTTTATGTATACAAAATCACAATTTGCCTCAGTGGACTTTACAATCTGTACAGCGTACAACACCCTCGATCTGTAGACCCTCCCTGCAGATAATGTGATGTTAAAATGATCTAAACACTGACTGCAGAGAAAAATCTTCTGGAAAAACACAATATTTGATGTTTAGGATGATCAGTTTAAGAAGAAAAAGATATACTTTATTAATCCCAGAGGGGTAATTCAATTGTTCCACTCTGTTGTCATATACACACAGGTCCGAAATACATACACCTGCCAAACAGGATCTATACATGCATTAAATGGAGAGATGTCAGAGTGACGTGGCTGCCATGGGCAGGCACCCCGAGCAGTTAGATAATCAGTATCTTGCTCAAGGGTGCCTCAGCAGTACCCAGGAGGCGAACTGCCACCTCTCCAGCTGCCAGTCCACGACCAGCGACCCTCCAGTACCCAAGCCAAGTCCCTATGGACTGAGCTACAGCTGCCCCATAGTGAAATACACAGATGTAACTTCAATCACTGCATCAGTGTGACAACAACAGCAACATTCAGCTGACAGGTTTCGACTGAAGCCAAAAATTCTGGCTTACTTAATCTGGTCGGATCCACCAGGTTGGTCGGCAGCAGTAAATTGGGAGGCAGAGCGCTCTCACCAGCGAACGACGAGGCGAACTGAGGAGGAGGAAATTCTGAGTTAGTGGAGCAGCTTGAGCACAAAACATTTCATCACAACACTAAATCATTAAATTGTTGATTACTTTTCTATGTTTTTGAGTGTTGCAGTACTTTTATTTCTTCTTAATATGTTTATTTTATGTTGTATTTTATGATTCTGATAAACTGAGTTGCCGACTGGAAGAAAATTAATCTGAATTTTTTTATTTTAAAGTATGAAAATAAATCTCTTTAAGTGACTCATTTCAAATGTTTCCAGCTTCTCTTTTGTTACAATTTGTTCCTTTTTCTCTGTTTTGCATCATTAGAAATGTAATATTTTAATGATATATGGATGTTACCTTCTGCTCTGCTCTTCCCTACTTTTAGATTTTTTAATAGACTTTTTTTTTCTTTAGCACTAAAAAAGTACTTTCTACTCCTCTACATTAATTGTAAGTAATTACTTTTATTAAAAATGTACATGCAAAAAAATATCTTGTAAAATATGATGCATTGCTTACCTGGAATGTGCTACACATTGAAGAATTACAACATTAAATAATAATTATGAATGTTATATTCATAATAACAAGGGATGAAAGAGTGTTATTTTTAATACTTGCAGTACATTTTGCTGACAATGCTTTTATTGCATTTTAATGCAGGACTATGACTTGTATGAATGAATAATTAACTTTATTTTAAACCAAAAATAATAATAATAATAAAAGTCAGAAAAGGATTGGTAGAAGTAATTTTTTATGTCCCTATCCCTTTCTTACATTTCTTCTTTTAACTCATATTATTTCAACAAATTTCAAAATGTATTTACAGCTAATATACAACTATCCCCAGTCTATTCACCACCCAATTAAATAAATAAAAAATAACCCCACTATTAATTTATTTTTTTACAGAATAAGCACTCCCCTAACACAACGTTTCCTACGAGGCTATACATCTGCCAAAATGATCATTTTTGTATAGTTTTTGATTTACTTGTAATGAAATACCACTGTTAGACTGTGGTATCTGTACTTTAATTTAATTTAATTTTAATTGAATACTTCTTCCACCACTGGATCTCAGACAGGTTTATCATTATTGAACATGCAGGAGTTTAATTCTAAGGTCAGTACCGGAAAACTACAACCTGTTAATTACAAGTTAAACTGCAACATCCTCCATGTTCAGACGGCGGCTGCAGGTTAAACGTTAAACTCACCCTTCTAGCGACTCCTCTGCCACAAACCACCAGAGTACAGCGAAACATGTCGGTTCAGTTTTCTCCCACAGTCACACAAACACTTAATTTCTTCTTACATCGGGTGAAATAAACATTATAAACGGGTTCAAATGCTGTTCGCAGCGTGAAAGGTCGTGCTGGTACTTCCCGTGTGGTGTGTTGGCGCGTGTTGATGACGTAGCGCGGGCACCGTTCTGACACCTAGCGGTTGGAGGTGGAAGTTCTTCAAAAAGCTCAGCTGAGATGCTCAACAGGAGAGATGCAAACTTCAAATACAATGTTTCAGTGGTGGAATATCACTAAGTGTATTTACTCAGGTACTCTACTCTAGTATACATTTCATGTAACATTGATTTGACTTGTACTTTACTTGAGTATTTCCATTTTATGCTACTTTATTAATGTACCACATGTCAGGGTGAAATATTATACTTTGGTACTTGATATTTGATATTTACACAGACCAGCCAAAACATTAAAACCACTGTCTGGTGAAGTGAATAACACTGATCATTTTGTAACAGTGCAATGCTCTTCTGAGAAACTTTGGCTCCTGCCATTCATGTAGATGCCACTTCACACCCGCCCAAACAACGTTGCAGACCAAGAACAGCCTCCTATTGGCAACTGCACCCCCCAGGCAGGACAACGCACCATGCCACACCACAAAAACAGCTCGGGAATGGCCTGGGGGACGTGACTAAGAGCTCAAGGTGTCAACTTGGCCTTGAAATTCCCAAGATCCCAACCCAATCGAACATCCATTGGGCATGCTGGTACCTTACCTCGCAACCCACAGGACTCAAAGAATCCTTCGACAACGCCTTGGTGCCAGACAACACAAGACACCCACAGAGGTCCTGTCTGCATGCCTCAACAGGTCAGACTCCCCACTGTAGATCGGACTTGACTCTGACCTGTCGAGGCCCAGACAAAGAACCTCTGGGGTTCCGGTTTGTCCCACAGATGTTCAATCAAATTGGGATCTGGGGAATTTGAAAGCAGGGTCGATGCCTTGAGCTCTTTGTCATGTTCCATAGGCCATTCCTGAGTAGTTTTTGCAGTGTGGCATGGTGCATTGCCATGCTAAGAGGCTACTGCCATCGGGGGTACTGTTGCAATGAGTGGGGGTACTTGGTCTATAACAATGTTTAGGTGGGTGGACTGTGTAAAGAGGCATCCACATGAACACCAGGACCAAAGGTGTCCCAGCAGAACAATGAAATGATTAATGTTGCTCACTTCACCTGTCAGTGGTTTTAATGTTTTGGCTGATTGGTGTATTTCGAACATGTAAAAAAAAAAAAAAAAAAATTATTATTATTATTTAAAAGTAATTGTAAGTGTATACTAACTTTGATTTACACTTTCCAAAAGGAGTGGGAGGAAGTATACACTCATTAAATCCCAAGTGTCAAATTAAAAATCAGCTTATAAATCATGATGTAATATTGTAATCTGCCCTGCATAAAGTAACCTAATTACAACCAGCTGCAACATTAAAGTGATTATTATAATCCAGTATTATAACATATACGATTCAAGTATGTTTTGTACTGTTATTATATTGTGATGTTTATCTTATGGTACTTTTACTTCACATTTTACATAAATCACATTTTGAATGTAGGACTTTTATTTGTAACATAGCTTTAACAACATCATTTACTGAACATCATACACTGTAATATATTACTACTTTTACTGAAGTAGGCTAAAAGATCTCAATATCTCTTCCATCTTTGAACAAAACTAAGTAGCCCACATTTACTCAAGTACTGTATTTAAGTACAAATTTGAGGTACTTTTCACCTTCTACTTCTTTGCCACTTCATTTCAGAGGGAAAGATTGTACTTTTACCTCACTACATTTATCTGACAGCTTAAGTTAGGTCTACTAGTTACTTTACAAATTAACATTTCTGCACACAAAACATACAAAGAGTTTATAAAATATGTTTGGTTAATTAAAAAGCCAAACAATGTATACTAGTACAGCTAATGATTTGTCAAATAATCAGTTTTGTAATAATAATTGTAATTTTTTGACACAAAAAGGCAGAAATATTTCATGTTTGCAGCTTCTCAGATGTGAAGGTTTGCTGCCTTTTTCATTTTGAGAATGTTAATAGTTATAATGTATTAGTAATAATGTTGAGGTTTGCACTCTTGGTTGGACGAAACAAACACTGTGAAGGTGTCACTTTTGGCTCTTTGTCGTTATGATGGTATTTCTAACTATTTTCACCATTTCAAAAAAAACAATCAATCAATTAATGTAGAAAATAATCAGCAGAATAATCCATAATCCACCTCAACCAATAACAACATTACGTTACTTTTACATTAATGTGCGAGGCATAATAATATAATGGTATAGAGCATATAATGTAACAGTCACAGGGGAATTTCTTTATAGCTTTAAGTACCTTTACCTTTAATTCTTAAAGTATATTTTTCCTGATTTCCTGCATTTTCAGCAGAGTAATGCCCAGGTATATACAGACAATGTTCTCTTCCTTTCAATAAAGCACCACAATATGAATACTGTACATATATTTGTGTTTATTTTGTCATACAATTCAACAATTTTATATATGGTCTGGCAATTTTAACACATTTAAATAGCTCCATGGTCACTTGAAAAAATGGCGTAAGGCAGTTTTTACAGTTTAGAATATATACTCATCTTAAATCATTTCATCATCTCTTATATTATTACTCAAATATGTTGAGGCAAGAACTCTGTTAAAAAATAGTTATAAAAATTATATAAACTCAACTATATACATCCCTAATGAATATAAAATAAAGTGGGTGTTTAAAAAGTACAGACATGCAGTATAATATAAACATATGCACAACGCTGGATATTTTAACATTCAGTTGATGATATGTAACAAAAAACTTACATCCTTTGATCTTAAAATAGTGCCCTTAAATACAAAAATGACCTCTTTGTGTTTCAACATCAGAGAAAACCGGCATTTTTTGGAGATTTTGGGTGCCTTAACTTAAATGTACACAGAAAAAAATATTGTATATTGTATAGTACAAACGTAGTACAAATTACAAAACTAAATTTACATATAAAAAAGTGCAAGAATGCTCCCTTATAATGTAGGCAACGAGATTGGCTTTATACATAAAACAAAAACTTAAATGTGGCAGAACGTGAGACTTTTTAAAAATGCATAAAATACATTAAACTTACAACACTGTAATTCACAATAAATAATCCCAACATAAAAAGCACACTGAATGAAACATTTGGTGCCACTTTTGGAAACATCAGTGGTTTAAAACCTACATGAGGTCGGAGAAAAAGAAAGTTGAACCCCCTTTCTGGTAATTGTTATCTGGAACTTCGAGGTCTATGTCTTGTGGATGAAAGCCAGGCCCCCCAAGTGTGTTATATTTGCGGTTTGGCATTCTCTGATTTTGTGCTTGTTTGTCAAAAACAGTGATGTAGTATCCATCCGAACCTCCAGGGACTCTTACTCTGGGATCTTGAGAAACATGTGGCAAACGTGCGTAAGTTACCGGCTGCATTGTTCCGTGCTGCCTTGAATACATATCACCAGGAGGACTTCTTCTAGAATGTCTTGGGTCCCCCATGCCAGTATTAACACCTGATGGGGAGATCACCTGTCCATAGCTAGGTGGTGCCTGGAAGTTAGGTTTGGAACCTCTAGCTCTAAGCACATGCTCCTTTCCTGTGAAATCATCAATGTTGAGATCTGTATGGCTGAAATCAACTCGATCTATATCCAGAACAGCCATTCTCATGTTAACCCCTGGGATATCTGATCTGCGATTCCTATACGAAGGTCCTCTGAAATGTAGTGAAGGATCATCAATGTTAAGATCTGGAGATTTGAGATGGAGCTGTGGATTCCGCATTGTTGCTTTCGGCATGTTTGGAGCATTAACATTTAGCTGTGGACCTCGCATCGCTGCGTTCGGCATGTTTGGAGCATTAACATTTAGCTGTGGACTTCGCATCGCTGCTTTTGGCATGTTTGGAACACTAACATTTGGACCTGTGAAATCCCCCACCAACTGCATTGGTTTCATGTTCAGTTTTGCATTTGGAGGAGAAATATCCAGATTTGTTGGTTTCAGAGATGCACCAAAGTCAATATCAGACCCTACCCCGTTAAGATCTGGGCTTCCAAACTGAGGCATCTTGAAAGAAGGGAGTTTGAATTTTCTGTCAGCCAAATCAAGATCAGCGTCCGGACCTTGGATGTTGCCTGAGGGAATATTCATACCAATGTCTGGAACTCTTATTCCTCCTTTGACATTAGGGACAGTAAAACTCATATCAGGTTGCCCTATGTTACCATCTATTCCTAGGTCAGGACGTTTCGCATTGAGGTCTAGCTTGGGACCTTTGAAAATGGCATTAGGCAAATCTATGTCTGGCATACTTACATCAGGGCCTTTCAGTTTAGGTCCTGAAAGATTCATGTCTGGAATCTTGGCCTTAGGTCCAGAGAGATTGAGGTCTGGTGTATTCAAACTTGGCATTTTGAATTTACCTTTGGGACCACTGACATCTAAATTTGGGATATTCAGGTCAGGCCCCTGTAGGTCCCCATTTATGTCAATATTGGGGCCTTTTGGCATCTTGATTTCTGGCTTTTTGAACTTTGCATCAGGGAGACCAAGGCTGACATCTGGAGTGTTCATATCTAATTTGGGTGCCTTAAGATCCATGTTTGGTAATCCAAATTTAGGGGCATCGATTCCACCTTTCAATTTTGGAGCTTTGAGATTAAAATCTGGAGCTTTTAGGTCTGAATTTATGTTCAGATTTGGACCTTTTGGTAATTTGGCATTGAGATCTGGTGACTTAAAGTCAAAGTTTGGAGCATCTAACTTTGGACTAGAAAAGCCCACATCAGGAAATTTAAATTTTCCCGTTGGGCTGCCAAAATCAACATCTGGTATTTCAAAGTCAGTTTTGGGCCCTTTGAGGTTGACATTGGGTGCATTGATGTCAACATCTGGACCATCCAAGTTTCCATCAATTTCAGGTGTTTTTAGGCCTGGGAAGTTAAATTTTGGCATTTTCAGTTTGGGCATTTTGAATTTTGTTTTGGGTGAACCAATGTTGATATCTGGAGTGTTCACATCTAACTTTGGAGCTTTAAGGTCCATGTTTGGCAAGTCCAAGTCAGGGGCATCAATTCCACCCTTTATCTTTGGAGCTTTCAGATTTAAATCTGGTGATTTGAAGTCAGTGTTTATGTCCAAATTTGGTCCTTTAGGCAGCGTGCCAGAAAGGTTTAATTTGGGCATTTTCAATTTGCCTGAGGGAGCATTAACATCCCAGTCTGGAGCATTAAGCTCTGGCATTTTCAGTTTACCTGACGGCATGTCTAAGTTGAGCTTTGGGGCATTGAGGTCCAGTTTGGGGCTTTTAAGATCAACCTTGGGCATGTTTATGTCTGGTGCATTTAAACCACCACTGAGATTGGGACCAGATAGATCTAGATCAGGTGATTTGAGGCCCAGGTTGGGGCCATCTAACTTTGGACCAGAAAGCCCAAAATCAGGCAGGTTAAAGTTTGGCTTTTTGAATTTTCCTGATGGACCACTGATATCCAAGTCTGGCATTTCTAAATCAGTTTTAGGACCTTTCAGATTGACATTGGGTGCATTTACATCAACATCTGGACCATCCAAGTTTCCATCAATTTCAGGTGTTTTTAGGCCTGGGAAGTTAAATTTTGGCATTTTAAGCTTGGGCATTTTGAATTTTGTTTTGGGTGAACCAATGTTGATATCTGGAGTGTTCACATCTAACTTTGGAGCTTTAAGGTCCATGTTTGGCAAGTCCAAGTCAGGGGCATCAATTCCACCCTTTATCTTTGGAGCTTTCAGATTTAAATCTGGTGATTTGAAGTCAGTGTTTATGTCCAAATTTGGTCCCTTTGGCAGTGTGCCGGAAAGGTTTAATTTGGGCATTTTCAATTTGCCTGAGGGAGCATTAACATCCCAGTCTGGAGCATTAAGCTCTGGCATTTTCAGTTTACCTGACGGCATGTCTAAGTTGAGCTTTGGGGCATTGAGGTCCAGTTCGGGGCTTTTAAGATCAACCTTGGGCATGTTTATGTCTGGTGCATTTAAACCACCACTGAGATTGGGACCAGATAGATCTAGATCAGGTGATTTGAGGCCCAGGTTGGGGCCATCTAACTTTGGACCAGAAAGCCCAAAATCAGGCAGGTTAAAGTTTGGCTTTTTGAATTTTCCTGATGGACCACTGATATCCAAGTCTGGCATTTCTAAATCAGTTTTAGGACCTTTCAGATTGACATTGGGTGCATTTACATCAACATCTGGACCATCCAAGTTTCCATCAATTTCAGGTGTTTTTAGGCCTGGGAAGTTAAATTTTGGCATTTTAAGCTTGGGCATTTTGAATTTTGTTTTGGGTGAACCAATGTTGATATCTGGAGTGTTCACATCTAACTTTGGAGCTTTAAGGTCCATGTTTGGCAAGTCCAAGTCAGGGGCATCAATTCCACCCTTTATCTTTGGAGCTTTCAGATTTAAATCTGGTGATTTGAAGTCAGTGTTTATGTCCAAATTTGGTCCCTTTGGCAGTGTGCCGGAAAGGTTTAATTTGGGCATTTTCAATTTGCCTGAGGGAGCATTAACATCCCAGTCTGGAGCATTAAGCTCTGGCATTTTCAGTTTACCTGACGGCATGTCTAAGTTGAGCTTTGGGGCATTGAGGTCCAGTTCGGGGCTTTTAAGATCAACCTTGGGCATGTTTATGTCTGGTGCATTTAAACCACCACTGAGATTGGGACCAGATAGATCTAGATCAGGTGATTTGAGGCCCAGGTTAGGGCCATCTAACTTTGGACCAGAAAGCCCAAAATCAGGCAGGTTAAAGTTTGGCTTTTTGAATTTTCCTGATGGACCACTGATATCCAAGTCTGGCATTTCTAAATCAGCTTTAGGACCTTTCAGATTGAAATTGGGTGCATTAATATCCATGTCTGGGCCATCAAAATTGCCATCAATCTCAGGTCCTTTTAGGCCTGGACCACTAAATTTCGGCATCTTTATTTTGGGCATCTTTAATTTTGCTTTGGGTGAACCAATGTTGATATCTGGAGTGTTCACATCTAACTTTGGAGTTTTAAGGTCCATGTTTGGCAAGTCCAAGTCAGGGGCATCAATTCCACCCTTTATCTTTGGGGCTTTCAGATTTAAATCTGGTGATTTCAGGTCTGTGTTCATGTCCAAATTTGGACCTTTTGGCAGCGTCAGATCAAGTGAAGGTGCATCCATGTCAAACCCTGGCTTAGACAAATCTACATCCATGCCTTTTATCTTTGGGGATTTCAGAGCAAGTTCAGGTGTTTTCAACCCTGCATTGACATCCAAATCCTTTTTCTTTGACAATGTGCCAAAAAGCTTAAATTTTGGCAACTTAAGCTTACCAGAGGGCGCATCTGCACCAATGCCTAATTTCCCAGAAGGCATATTAATATCCATATCAGGAGTATTAAGGTCAAGTTTTGGGTCTTTGAGGCCAATCCCACCTTTAAACTTGGGAGCAGACACATCCAAGTCAGTTGAGGGTACCTTTATGTCAATATTTGGGTCTGCAATTCCAGCTCTGAGATCTGGTGCTGCCAACCGCACATCTGGTCCTTTGAAATCTCCATTGAAATCTGGAACTTCAATGTCTGGTAAATCAAATTTGGGCATTTTAAACCTTGGAGCCTTGTATTTTCCAGATGGAAGTTTAGTGTCAACAGACGGAGTGCCAATGTCTAACTTTGGTCCTTTGAGGTCAGCTTTGGGTAAATTTATATCAGGTGCATGAATTCCACCTTTTATCTTTGGTGATTTGAGACTAAGGTCAGGTGTTTTAACGTCAAATTTGGGCTTAGTCAATTTACCAGATGGGGCATCCACATCTAAATCTGGATATCTAAGATCAATCTTTGGTTTCTTAAATGGCACTTTGACTTTCCCTGAGGGCATGTTAATGTCCGGCCCATTTATGTCAAGTTGTGATACATCCACATCTGGCATTTCTAGGTCCAAGTCAGGGGATGTTCCTGACAGCTGGAGCTTGGGTGATTCTACATAACTGGAAGGAGAGTCCACATTTAGATCTGGATTTTTCAGTCTCTTGGAATACTTGAGACCAAGTTTACCTGAGGGAACATCTGGCATTCCTACATCTGGTATCTTGACCTCACCTTCTGAACCACTAAAAGAAGGTCCAGAGAGGCCCATGTCTGGCACTTTGAATTTTGGCATTTTGAACTTTTTGTTTGTTCCTTCAATGGCCACTTTTGGAACGTCAGTATCAAAGGATGGACCACTGATATTTCCCCCATTCAGGTTTATCCCTATGTCAGGTGTACTAACATCTGAACCTGTTAAGTCCATACCCATTTCTGGAGCTCTCAAAGTTCCATTGCTTTCCAGTCCAAGATTTGGCATTGTCAAATCAACTAATGGACTGTCAGTGTTTGGCAGCTGTAGACCAGCTGTGGTGTTGACATTTGGACCCTCTGGTAATGTTCCAGACAGATGGAAGTCTGGAGCATTAAACTGTGGACTTCTAGCATTGACTTTCAGTCTTGGCGCCTGAGCTCCACTTAGAGCAGTCCCATTCAAGCCGAGTCCCAGCGGTGGGAGGTTCAGATTGCTGTCATATTTCATTTGTTCTTCGGCATCATCAGATTGTGAATCTGCATCAATATCTGTGGTCAAAGTCTTGGGTTTTATAAGTCCAAAGTCAACTCCGAGGCGAGGCAACCCCCTCATGTCGTGTTTTAGGTTGACCTTGGATGAGCCTGGTACAGTTGGCTTGGCAGTAACCTCGTTCCCAGAGCCTTCCCAGGCACCAGGCAAATCATCTTTCATGAACTTCTTGATTTTGGCATTGTAGAGCTTGCTGTAGGCATCATTCAGCATCTAAAAATATAAACCACAGCTTGGTGATTGGCAACTACAACATTATCCGCGTTTCTATCAAGGTAACTAATCTTTAACTTTATTTCCATGATAATCAATGTAATGCAGAAAACAGCTCTTAGTTGAACATTATATACAGTAAGTGCTACCAGAATAAGTGCCCTTTGAATTACAGGAAAACCGAATAAGAACTTTGGTTTTAATCCCATTTGACTTGATATTATCTGCACTCCACCTACCGTCTCAGGAGTCTTGTCACACTGGTCCAAGTTTCCGAGGCTCTTGCTCTTGTTGTTCCTAGTGAGGACTTTCATCTTGCCATCAAATGGCTCCATCAGCCTCAGTACTTTATATACTTCATCTTTTGAAAGTTGATCAAAATCAATTGTTGCCCCCAAGAGTTCATCCCCTGAAAAATAAAATTCATGTGTCTGCATAAAACAAGAGCTTGTTCCAGAACATTAAAGGGGAACTACGCCCATTTTCAAAATTCATACATGTATTCCTATGGTCTAAGACAGTCCAAAAATATTAGTATACATGAACAACCCTCTCCAAAATGCAAAAACTAGAGTGCTAAAACTCAAATTAGCGATGTCATCAAGTATAAAGTCTGGAACTGCTCCCTTGACAATGACTGGGGAAAGATATTATTGATGACACTGATAGACACTGAATGTTTTGAGTATAGGGGTACATTTTCTGTTTAGGACTGAGAATACTGCAACGGAATAAAGTTCATTTGGGTATGAAAAAGAAAAATAACATTCTGTGGGTCCACAAAATCAGGCCCCCATTCATTGTCTATGGAGCAGTCTATGGTCTTTATACTCTTTGATGTCACACTGTTGAGACTTACTTCTCTGGTTTCTGGCTTTGAGGAGAGAGTAGCTCAAGATCACAAATATTGATTAAACTTCTCTTGGCCATGGAGATGATAATTTGGAATTCCTAATTAAGATGTCATTCCCTTTAACTGTCTCATATCTTAATGCACCACATTATGCTTTGCTTTAGACTCGACAAACTCTGAACCTGGCACTATCGATGCCAGGACATTAGGCACTGGGTTTTACGTCAGACAATCTTGAAAAAAAACATCATCCCTTTGTGGCGGCAGAGGCGAACAAATACAGAGTGAAATGATCAAGTTGTCTTTTGTGTAATTTAATAAAGTGATGTAACTGAATAATAAGAGTTCTAACAGAGTCAATCTTATTTCAGCTGAAAGGCCAGAGCTCTGACACCTGGAGTGTCCTGCGTAGGTCTGACAAAGATTCAGTCACATAATGAAATTAAAAGAAGAGCAGGAGCAAAAGGGAGGCCTCCAGTTTACTGATAACTGTCATGGGAACAGCTGCAAAGCAAGCTTTTTACAAACAAATGAACTCTCCAAGGACACAGTTCACGTCAGTTACAACAAAGCCTTATACACAGAAAAGAATCAGGATATTACATGTCGATATGTGGCAATAACAAATTTTGTTCCTACACCCTGCAGCCCTGTTATTGACTAAATATTTAAAAGCGTAAAATTCTGTACGCCTCATTTACATAAATGGAGGAGCAGAGATATTAGAGAGCCTTTAATTTAATGCAGAATGACACTGTTAATCAAAGAAAACAGCACACTGCGCTGCTCACTCTGCTCTCAAGAGTTAACACAACTTTGGATTTGAGTCAAATGTATAATGATTTCCACGAATTTGTAAGGCGTGCTCTTATTGAGAACAAGTTTTTAAACTGTAAAAGCTAAGACACAAAACAATCTGGGAAAAAAAGCTTCAGTAGCAAGTCACGGATCATACCTTCTCTAAGTCCTCGATTGGCTGCGGCATTTTGGTTGATGCTGGAAACGTACAGCCCTCCCTCCTCTGATCGCTCAAGGGTCAGGGCGTCAGAGAGACTCCTTCCCCTGCGGTGAGACGGCTGCAAACAAAGATGTTTCATAAAGTGCTTAAAACAGAGGCACTCCCCACCAGGGTGAGCTTTCAAAGGCAACATGAAACAGAAATATAATTATATAGACACAGATCCAAATGCTGGTATTTCGTACCATGATCCTTTCGTGTTTCTGTCACAGTGGCATTGAAAAATCCCCTTTGACTAAACCTGCAGAGGAAAATAAAATGATCAGGAGACAGAATAACAGCAGATCTGTACATGTGTGACATAGAGTGCATCCTCTAGCACCTGGTTGCTACCTATTCATTGAGCCCCGACCTCACCTGAGCGCTGTTGCGGTACACGCCCATAATCGTCCCGAACACAGAGAATAAGAAGAACATAATAAAATACAGGCAGAGGGCAGAGCCACTGAAGTAAAATACTCCGCAACACACTGAGAGTGGGTCATAACCAATGATTGAGAAGGACTGTCTTTACGTGTCTATATACTTTTTTTTAAAAATCCTGCATAGTTTTCCTTTAAAGCCAATAAAACAAAAACAAAACATTTGTCAGCCATCAGTGAGACATTTTAAGCACTCTGATCATATGATAGCAGTGAAGGAAATGTAACTAAATACATTTACCCAACCAAGTACTGTACGTAAGTACAATTTTCATGTACTTGTACTTTACTTCCATTTATGCTACATTATACTTATAATCCACAACATTTTGGAGGCAAATATTGTACTTTTTACTCCAAGAGCTCCACCTTCACCAGCTGCACCATTTAAGCGATGAACACAATAACATTTCAATATCAATAATCGATAAAAAGATATAATTTTTTTTTTTCTGTAATGAGCTATTTTGCCTAATTGGTGCTTTAAGGATATTTTGATGCTAAAACTGTTGTACTTTTACTTGAGTAACATTTTAAATGCAGGACTTTAACTTGTAACAGAGTACTTTACACTCTTGTGTGCTACTTTTACTTAAATAAAAAATCTAAATAGTTCTGCCACCACTTTATGATAGTTTCAGATCTCAAATCAGTTTAAAAATTGAGGTAAAAGAAGACTAGGAAGGAAGATTGTGACAAAAGATACCACAACGCTCCACAGAATTTATAGATGTTTTTTTTTTTTATATATATATATATTAACTACATATCTCTGTAGGAAATACAAATGCCCACAATATGGCAGTGTTCCCATAGGTTGGGAATATATATGTGTTGATTTATCCGTTAGAAGATTCATATTTACAATCTATACAGTAGCACATCAAAGCACTCTTCTGCCAAATTAAGTCTGTTTACAGCGTTAACTCCATCTCCCAAACAGAACTTTGAAAGAAGGGAACAAGAAATACAAGAACATAAAAACCCTTTGGGTGGGGCAGATCTGTGTACTTGGCAAACTAATAAATTTTGTGTCGCTGGTATTTTATTACAAGAATCAAGGGGAATGGTGTGCTTTTAGAAGGCAGTGTTTCAACAGCAGAACATTTATATCCGTACACATTTTTGATCTGAAATCTTTTTCGAGGGACATTTAGAGTCATTAAATCTATTCTTCTAATACTATTTATGTTGGTGAAGATTCTCAGTCGTCCAGGTCATGGTTATTCTAAGTGCTGTATCGTAGGCAACTTAACTTGCTTGAGTTTCTTGAAGACGTTCCAACTCTCGTCCAGGAGGCGCCTTCAGTTCTAACTGACTGGAGGGGACTCTCAGGCTTTAAACCCTGTGTGGGTGTGAACCCTTACAGAGTCCCTGAGGTCACATGTGAGCTCTGAGTTTCACAGTCATTAGACTAAATGTGAGCATGTGAGTTGTTGACGCACCCAGGTCAACAACTCACGCTCGTTAGGGATTAGATGGGTCCAGGTTAAGATATCACAGCTTAACACCCGTTCATACCTGAACCCATCAAACCCTAACGACCCACATAATGGCCATGTGGGTCAAAAACTCACATGTGACCCTAACAACTCTGAACATCAGAGCTCAGATGTGACCTCAGCGACTTTGTAAATGTTCACACCCACACAGGGTTTAAAGCCTGCGACTCACAGTCAGTTAGAAATGAAGAAACCTCCTGGACGAGAAGTGAAACGTCTTCAAGAAACCCAAGCCAGCTGCCTACGATAAAGAATGTTTATCTTAATGTTTTACATCTTATCTCAGTCAATACAGAGTTAATTCAGAAGAAGATAAATATTCTGTACTGTGAAATTCTCATATGAGTACACTCACTGAGAGACACATTCATTTCAGTGAATTTTTTAAAGCAAAGCAGATTGAAACAGTTTCACTGTACGCAGGTGGGCGAGTGACACCCAGGTAACTCGACAGGTGCATCTCTCAGGTATGTGAGTTATAGCTTTGAGGAAAACCAGGAACAGGTTTATCGAGAGTGCTGTGGACAAGTGTTCTGTCGCTGGGTGTTTCCTTTCTGTAAGCACACAAAGTCAAAAGTGACCACACCCACCAATTTCTAGCATAGAAATTCTGGCAGGGCGCTGGCAGACCTCCAGTGAATCGAAACACACTGTGTTCTATCAAGATCACGTGGAATGATGTGCAAAGATGAGCTGCACGAATGACACTGGGATTTATTCTACATCTACACCTGACTGCAATTTGACCTCCACACATCAGAATAAAAGGTGTAAGTTTATATAAAAAAATCTCAACGGCCACATGCAAAATTTAATCTATATGATTTTGAAATGCACAAATTCTCCACCATTCACAAAGCATCAGTGTACAGGAACAAATATTAATGTGATTAGGCAGGAAGGAGTAACTGAACAATACGATAATTGTTGCAGAATTATCCCAATATAAACCTCGTATTTACATAAGAATTCACAGATATGGCAGAATGCTAAAATTATGTTCATCCCGTCCAAGTAAAAGTTTAAACACAGAGCAGAAATATACAGTACATTTTCAGGTATTTGAGAAGTCAAGCTATGACAGATTTTGGCAAAATCTTACTCAGCTTTCACTCAGACATGAAAACTGTGATCCACAAAATCTGCACAAATATTTAGCCAATCAAAACTCTTAATACAACATATGACAATAAGACAGGAAAATTGTTCTGTTTCCTAAAAAAGTGTAGTTTTAATGTCTAGAATACTTTTTCAGTCCTGTTTTGTGTCATGTCTTTACCGAATGCCTTCAAGACAAATGCCCCCAAATTTACTGTGAAACCACAAACTACCATCAGTCACATCACTGGCAGTTAGCTCATTTTACGCACGACGCCAAGTGACATCTGAGCAAAGGAAGCAGCTGGTTTACTACTCACAAAGTTACATATTATACATTTTGCAGGGAAGCCAAAGTGCACCTGCTCTGCAGTTATAAAAGTCAGTCAGTCAGTAGGAGCTGGATGCACAATAGAGCTAGCATTCAATAAAAAAAAGTTGTTTTTGGTTTCATTAGCAACACTAAATGTGAGCCGTCAGCATGTCATTTGGCAGCAGCAGAGGATTTGTAGTTTGTAATAATAAGAGGGTGCACATGTCAGGGTGCAGGTGTAAGCAGTGCATTAACATGAACTGACAGGAGGTGAACTGTGTGCGAGAACCTTTCTGCTCGTTGAATGATGCACTAAGAGATCATTAAAAACAACTGCAACAAAAGACGCGTTCAACACTTTCTCGGAGAAGTCAAGATGAACACGAAACCACCTGGATGATGGCAGCTGAACCTGAAACACTGTCACCCAAACCCCGCCACCTCAAGGACCAGGCACCATGCAGTGTAAAACATAAATGACACTGACCTCAGGGTCCATCAGGCAGGTGTTTCGGCCTCCGTGTTGTTGAAGTTGTGTCAAAGAGCTTCAGCCCAGCGTTATGAGTCCATGCTGTTTGCTCTGCGGGTTGTGACTGAGCAGAGAAGCTGCAGGTGGGCGGACGATTACTTCACCTGAAGCAGACAAACAGGTTCCACCTTAAATGTCCCACCTCTATCAACTGTCAACATGCACACACATTCACATGACACGCCCTCGTGCAAACACACCCTGACTACCACATGCCTGCGGCTCATATGCATACAAACAAAAACACACCACAGCAAAGTACAGCCTTAATCTGCGACCTGCTTTTCCTCATACGTCAACACGTGTTCCCACATGCAGTCTAAACACACAGACACACCAGTGGTGTGACATCTTTTACTTAAGAAAGAGTAGTTATGCCAGTGTTGAAGTACTGTGTTACAAGTAAAAGTCCTACATTCAAAATGTTCTTAAGTACAAAAGTGTTTGCATCAAACTTTAAATAAAGCACCAAAAATTAAAGTACTCAATGTGCAGCATGTTTAATTTCAGAATAATATATATTACTGGATTATAATTATTGATTCATTCAGCTCCAACACATTCTCACTCCAACATCATCATATATTGATGTTTGGTCGTAGACTTTCCACGTCCACATACGACGTGCAAGGTACCCTGTGTGCATTGGATGCTGATGTTCTGGGACACCGTGTCAACTTCAGCTTGTTACATGCATCGTCTTCTTTCAAGATACACTTCTGTTTTCACAGGAAATTTACCGTTTACATACAGTCTCTTTCAAAATAAGAGCACTACGTCGGTACAACACCACATATTGACTTTTTTTTTCCTTCAACAACAAACACAAATGGTTGGGTTTAGGACAAAAAAACAGGGTTTGGCTTAAGAATCTTACGAGACGCAGACACCACTCTCTTGGGTGAAGGTCAGTGTTTGCTGGACCCGTCCACTACCCTTCCCAACCGTCCCAGTCGAGCTTGCACCGCCGGGCACCATTAAACTATAATGGCATGCTGACGTTAAACAATGCCTTTTTTGTTGATTTCTGACGCCACAAGGCACTGCCCGGGCGCCAGATTTATTTTGACAACTTCGGAGTGAGATCGGACTTGTTTTCCTTCTTCTTCTTTGTTCAATTTTCTGGTCGGTGTTTTAATGTAAGCAAACATTTTTGAAATAAAGGCATTTTAAGTTAATTCAAAATGCATCTGTTCCTGCTCCACGCACGAGTGCCTGAAGTTCATTGTTTTCTTCCCATGTGCTGACCCTTTTACTCAAGAGCACCTGCCTTTTTTCTTGAATATCATATGATAAAGACAGTAGTCGAGCACTCTACTATCTCATTCTTCAAAGTGCAATCTTTTTCTTTTTCTCTTTACTGATCCTGCCCCATTTTCAGCCAAAGCCACAAAATATAACATCAAAAATAAAATTCTGCTGCCTTTCAACGGGCTAACACACGACTCATGCCGAACTTTGCCTGGGAAAATGTAGACATAGGCTTTTGCAGTCTGTGTGCCGTAAATTGCTTTGTCTGACTTGACAGGAACTCAGACTGGCATTGAAGCCTCCCGTGTGTAGGATTTAGGGCATATCTCAGCAAAAATGGAATAAAATATTCATAACTATGTTTTCATTTGTTTGTCACCTGAAACTAAGAATCATTGTGTTTTCTTTATGCCATTTAGCGCCATTCGCGTTTTCACATCGACTACCGTAATTCAGTTGGTTGCAATCTGCAATCTCACCACAAGATGCTACTAAATCCTACACTTGACCTTACAGAAAAACTATATAGAAACAGCCAATCCTCTCGCTGATGGTCTTGTTTGCTTGTGTAGGTCGTATAGACACATCAGTACTGATTTCAAACCATTTCATAACTAGTTAAAAACTCCTTATGGCTGCTTTAATTTATAATAATATATCAGAATTTATTTTTGTATGTATCAATAATCAGAAATTAGAAGGTACCTAAAGCCATCTGATAAATGCAGTGAAGTAAAAAGTACAATATCTATCTCTTAGATGTAGTGTAGTAGAAGTATAAAGTAGCTTAAAATGGAAGTACACAAGCAAAGTACTTCAAATTTGCACTTAGGTAAATTACTTGAGTATATGTACATGTGTACTAGTTGCATTCCACCACTTACACACACACACACACACACACACACACACACATGTAAAAGCCAGAGTTATAGTCGAAACCTCGACTTTCAGGAACCAAGACAGAACAAAAAAAAAAACATAAACCAAACACTCCCGCCTCACAACGTGATAAGTGTGTTAACATGAGAAAAATGCTGACCTGTGCCAAGGGAGCGGCAGGCGCTGACTGTGTGAGTCACTCTGATTACAGACGTCTGTTTGTGACAAAGACTCCGGTCTGTGTGAATCTCGATGGAAAGAAAGGAGAGAGTTCAGTGGCATTCAAACAGTCATTACATAATCACACCTGGAAAGGTACGGCTGTGGCTCTGGCGTTACGTAAGGACAACTCCGTTCTCAGGCAGACTTGGTGAAGTAAAAGAGTGTGTGTGACAACAAATGTTTACTAGAAAAGAAAGTGATTTATTACAGGGACTTAAATTATAAAGCAACTTTGCTGACAAAAACAAAGACACCAAAATAAATCATTCCCAAATGATTTATGTGAATGTTAAATATATCACACTTCATCATCACAAGTTATTTTGAATTGTTCAGTCTAACAATGCATATTATCAGTGGTGCATCCAGAAAAAGATTCTTCTTTCCGTCAATATTTGAATTTAAATTTGATTTACAGTTTATATTAGAGCTGCAGCGATTAGTATATCAATCCATTCATCGCTCAAAAGAAAATATATCTGCATCTATTTTGATGTCGATTAATTGTTGGACTGAATTTTCAAGCAAAAATACCAAACATTTGATGATTCCAGGTTCTCAAACGTGATAATTTGCTGCTTCTCTTGGTCTTTTCATAGTAAATTGAATATTTTCACGACCATTTAATGTCGTCACATTGTGCTCTAGGATATTGCGACAAAGTTTTTTCACTGTTTTAGAGTTTTACAGACCAAACAATTAATCGATGATGAAAACAATAAAACAACTAGTTGCAGCCGTAGTTCACATACTGTAATTCCCTAAACCATCTCAATACAGAATAAAACAGTCAGGGTGGTAACGTGTTTTCATGTTGACACAACTTTGGAAAAACATGTCACAAGTGTTTGTAATGGATGTGCAGAATAAACAGAGACAAATGAGGACAGGACAAACACGGCACAGACTGAAGGTTTTAAACTTCCCCTCCAGTAAGAGTGAATCTTCTTCCTGACTGACAGTAAATTATTTGCAGAGAAGAAAAGGAATTGATCCTAAAAACATTCCCTCTAGTTATAAAAAAGACCTTGGGTTTTATAAACTACAAAAAAACACACACATTTAGAAAAGCTGTACTTTTGTTTTGATAAGAGATAACAAAAAAATGTGAGTGACAAAGATAACATCAAGGTCAGAAAAGTAACCAGGAAATTCAGACATGCCATCCGAAACCTCTGAGATTCATATGTTATGTAAAATGTTAATAATGATGAACGTGATGTACATGGCTCTCACATCCACATCCACTAAATGCAGTCGATGTGTTTTAATTTAAAAGAAAAACTGTAAAAGCAGATAACCAAATATTATAAATAAAATAAAAAAACAAAACAAAGAAAATCTGGCTTGATTCTGCCTCCCTGTTTCCTGTACACCTCGGCACTTTCAACTGTCCAATGAAGGCGAAAATAAAATAATCTTAAAACAAACAAAAAGAAGAAGAAGAAGAAGAAGAAGTAATGTGTTAAGCGGTCAGTTATTAATGCTTTATAAGTTGTTGGTTTTTTTTAAATGTCTTTTGGTAAAACATTCCAAAGTTGAAGAAATTTAGGAGCACAGATACTAAAAGCCCCACTCCTAATTTTCTGTCTTTGGGTGTAGTTGTGAATCTCTAACAAACCAGCAGCAGCACAAATTAACAACAGTAGCTACAGACAGCAGCTAAAGAAATCAACATTGTGTATCTGAAGATAGCATCCAAGAAACACCCATATAATAAAAACAGCAGAGGATCAAAACAGCTTCCCTGAGGAACACCAAAACATACTGTATGCTATTATCTCTATGTTGTTCCCAGTGGGTGGGTTAACTTGCAAAATTGTAAATTGTAACAAGAAGTAATGTGTCAAGCGGACAATAAAATGCTTTCTGAGTTTGTTTGTTTTTTAATTGTCTTTTGGTACAACGTTCCAAAGTTAAAGAAATTTAGGAGCACAGATTGCCCCACTCCTAGTTTGCTGTCTTTGGGTGTAGTTGTGAACTTCTAACAAACTAGCAGCAGCCACAGACAGCAGATACAGAAATCAACATTGTGTATCTGATGATAACTTCCAAAAAACACACATGTAACAAAAACGGCGGAGGATCAAAACAGCTTCCCTGAGGAACACCAAAACATAATGCATGTCATTATCTCTATGTTGTTCCCAGTGGATGGATGAAAAATCCTTTTAACTTGCAAAAGTGTAAAATGTAACACTTCATTTAAGACAGACCTTCAATTAAACCTCTTTTATATCTCAAATATAACCTGACCATATAACACAGGAACACTATCTAGTGACTGTAAAGTGACCTATCATCAACTCCCACTTTAGGGGAACCAGATTAAGATTTGAGATTACTCATACACAGATCCCTCTTTCAAATTAGGGCTAGGCTGTTGTGGCAGACTGATATTTCTTCAGCTCTGACTGCAACTCAACTAAAAACAGGCTACTAAACCTGCAGTGTACCCCCATAATTTTTCTGTATAAATCCATGTTTTTATACTACTGAAGCTGATGCAACTACACTTATTTTCAAAGGCTGGAATTTAGTGGCAGGTGTTTTGTAACTGTGTAGGGTTAAAATCTATCAAGTTTAACAGCAGCTAACAGAGAATATGCATTTTCATACATCATCCTTTTCACATTTTAAGGTATTTTCAGAATATTCAAGCATGAGTGCAGCAAATGCCCCGCATCAGCCACCATGGGTGATTTTTCCCCAGTGCACACTGAGAGAAAATAAAACTATAGAAAAATTTCAATACAGTAGAACCCTGCAACAGCTCCACACAAACTCTGAATCCACAAAAACAATTAATACGGTCAGATGAAAACGGACTGGTAGAGTATAGAGAGTCGTATATAAGGCCTGCTGCAAGTTACCTGCTTGTAGTAATAAATCCCAGCAGGATAAATGGTTAATGTGCAGTGCAAATTTATTGCTTCATAGTTAAAAATGTCCCCCAAAAATGAGATCAAGGAGGCAAAAAAACTAATTTAAGGGAAGTGTCTAGTTTTTAGTCTCCCAAGAAGAAAGTTTCATACTTTTCAGTATGATTTTTTTGTCCTTTTATTCCCCGTTAAATTGCAAAATGCCTTTGAAACAGCTTATAGTTGTAATTATTATGATCTGAACAGACATAAAAGTCTCAAGGTCACAAGAGACATCATGTGTTGACGAGGCTGTGCAAACAAACTGTCAACAAACGCCACAAGAAGAGGAGAGGCTATGACTAATTAAATATTTTTCTATATCATTTTTAGTCTCCCAAGATGAGAATTCAGGAAAAGTTCAATTAATGCTGCTCCAGCATTAAAATAATCAATTAAAAGAAACAAAATCTTAGCACAGAATAAGAATATCTACAAACCCATATCATCACTTCCCAGTCCAAACAGAAATCTGGAGCGAGGCATCCCCCGCCTCTTTGCTCCAACAGTAGAAGACCTCTTTAAATGTGTGCTGTAAAAGTATGTAAAGCAGGACGGTGCTGAAAAAGGCAGCAAGTTCTCAGCAAACATTTCCAGGATGAAAAATATAAAAATAAATCTTTTTCTGTCCTCTAGTGTCTTTTCAGTCAGCTCACTCTCCTCTCCGACCGACCAGCCTGTGGAAGATGGAGTGGTCAGTCTGGCAGAGAGCAGCTGGGGTGTCAAACTCCACCACCTTCCCAGCTCGCATCACCAGGACCCTGTCGCAGTCCATGATGGTGTTGATCCTGGAGACAAAAACACAGACCAAAAAAAAAAGATATTTTTTCATATTTCCATGTAGGAAAAGCTTAAGAGATTAAAGTAGGAGTTTCAAATCACTAAGACTAGAGCCTGAAATGACAAATCCATCCATGGTTGAAGGTTATATTATCCACCCATTTTCATCTGCATATCAGGGGCCTGATTGCAGAGGCAACAGGCTGAGCAAGGCACCCCAGACATCCCTCTCCCCAGCAACGCTTCCCAGCTCCTCCTGAGGGATCCCAAGGCGTTCCCAGGCCAGATGAGATATATAATCCCTCATGCAGGTTCTGGGTCTGCCCCAGGGCCTCCTACCAGTTGGATGTGCCCAGAAAACCTCAAACTGGAGGTGCCCAGGAGGATCCTGATCAGATGCCAGAACCACCTCAGCTTGACCCCTTTTGATGCAAAGGGGCAGCGGTTCTACTCCGAACTTCAGCTGCTTGAATCCGCAATCTCATTCTTTCGGTCACAAACTTGTGGCCCGACCCTCAAAGATGAGGAGCTGGACTTAGATGGAGCAGTAAATTAAAAGCTTTGTGTTCCAGCTCGGCTCCCTCTTCACTACACCTGTCCATCTCATGCTCCATTTTACCGTCACTTGAGAACAAGACCCCAAGATACTTGAACTCCTTTGGTTGGGACAGTAACTCTCTCCTTTGCCAGGTTGGGTTGGCCAGGTTAGGGTATATAATATCTTGAAAAATAGTTGATTTTTCAGACATTTGCATCCGAAAATCTTTTACCTGTGTGCAATAGTGAGGACGGTCTTGTCCTGAAACTTCTCTCTGATGGCCTGCTGCAGCAGTTTGTCCGTCTTCTGGTCCACGCTGGCTGTGGCTTCATCAATACACAGGACCTACACGACAGGAAAACAGATGTTCTAGTGTTGTGACCTGGAGCTCATTCACCAGAAACAGAGGTTACAACCGTGCAGGAAACACTGAGGATGAAAATAAGAAGGAAGCAGACAAACACTGCAAAGGGCAAAAGGTTTAGTATCTCGTGTTGCTGTGCAAAGGAAATAGCAGCACTTGTAAGTCAACAGACACACTCAAATGTAAATACAAACATGTCGTTACAAAGGGAGTGTTCAAAGATACACAGCTTTTGTGTACTTAAGATTTATTCTTAAGGAAACTGGAGGTAAGCTGTCAGTCGGAGTTTAAAAAAAGGTCTTTCAAAAGCACAAAAGCTTTGGCTTATGTCTGTCTCAGTGTGAGATTGTCACGGCCTAACCACCTCTGAACAGGTGAGGAGTGTGATAAAAATAGAACAGAACAAGGAACAGGTGT